TATATTTCTTTTTCTATTATATAACGCAGTCATATGAATGAATATGTGTTCTATCTTCATGTAGTGTATACAATAAACAAATAATTTTGGAACATCCAGAGATAAAAAGGAAAATTAGGCTAACGGAGGACTTGGGTTATATATTTAAAATCACTGAAGGGAGAGATACTTTTGAAGACCATGTTTTATCTGTTAACACGGAAGTATATCATGTTACCCCCGACAGTTCTATACGAGTCTACATCCATACACCTTATTACAGTTAAATTACGTCTAGACCTACTCTTCATGTGTCTGTAACAGTACCAGTGATAACGCTTAGGAATTCAAGCAACTGATATAGATGTAGCCAGGATTGATACTATCGGGAATTTAAACCTAGCAAACTCATATTAAAAACGTTTACAATGCCCTGAATATTTTCTCAATATAGGTTTAAATGTGTTTATGATTCATCTTTAATAATTTCAACTGTGCGAAAACGAGAGAAAATTTCGGATCGTAGATTCGCTAACAGTCTCGATGGTAAGAAACCATAGTGTGTTCCCGTTGTAGATTTGGCAAAAAGGTACAGAGAGTTACAATGGATCCGGGCTTTGGAAGCAGTTCTCTTTCCATCGTGACTACTTTTTATCCTATGAAATAGACCTGATGCGCAAAGCTCTTTACTCCGTGAGAAGAATGAACCACGAATGCAATATACCTAATTATTTGAGAGATTAACACTATGGATGACCCATTAGTATTTTTGTTTGTAGAATCTCATGACCAGGCTTACCACAAACTTCCCATGCCAAGGATACCTTATAGAACTTCGACGTTTGTGTGCAATTATTCTACAATCTAATCATACCGATTCATAACTATCTCATTTGAATCTCAGTTTTTCGGTATCTTCAGTAAAACCTAATCATACACACGAATGTTTAACACCCCTAACATTTGATAAATGGCGAATTACCAAAAGATCCCCAATCAAACGAAAGCCTTATACTTTGGGGATAATCGAATCAACATTTAATTGCCTTCCAGTCAGGTAAACTTACTGATTATTCACTTCCATTTGATCGGATGATATTATGATAAAGAGTATCGTAACAAATTCCAAAGCGCTACAGAATCTTAAGATTACAACATGGTTCTATTTCGGTTCATCATATTACCTACTGTTTTTAATAAGTTAACTATTTAGTTGCGTTCTTGTATCCTCTTGCTGCCAAGTTGGTGTTTTCATAGACGTTTCCGTGAATATCCAGCTGTACTCCATCCTTTGATTAGGAATGTTATTGCACTCGGACAAGCCCATGTTTACTTGTGCTATCTCATGTTGCAGTATACGAAGTGTAGATAACTCAGACTGACAACAGTCTTACATTTCTCGGTTCATCATCCTGATGGAATTATGATGAGCGCGACTGTGTGATACGTGCCAATCAGAGACATGCGAATAAAGATACTGATATATACCATAATTAAATTTTGAAAGGAAAAATATATCAATGGTTGGGGTTACTTTTTTCAAATAAGAGACGTATTCTACTAATCAGCGTTCGAGTAAATCGGGTAAAACAAAACAATAGCATAACCAATTTCATATATTGTCTTTTTTATAACAAAAAGGTAAGAAAAAAATGATTCTCAGTTAGTTCTGCATTACATTGTCTGCAGTTGGTATTATCAAATTAAAACATACATATGTAACGCTGTGTAGCTTATCTGGACTGTCCATAACCCGATATCTAATAACCTCCAATTCATTGTCTGGGAGTCCTGGGTTTTTAAACCTTGTCGGATCTGTTGTAGTGTCATTTGTAATTTCTCCGTTTATACTTTGTGTGAGACTACAACAGTCAATCTTATTAACCCCACCACCTGTAACTTATTTTCCCAGTGTCCAGTTAACACTAATCTGGTCGTCTCACACTCATGGCATCAGCACATACATTTTATCTGTACATTCATTTACCACAAAGCCAGTTATCCAACCTTTCATACAGCTATTTCAGGAATATTATTATATGAGCCTTTATTCATTTCATTTTATTATATTTATTTATAATAGGTATATTTCCTTTTATTATGCATATCACTTTGTCCCAGAAGAAGGTACCACCTACCATTAAGCTAGACATCATGACGTACACATAACACGATCTACATAAAAAGTTAGACAATGTAATGTTTCATTAATATCATCCGAATAGAAAACTAGATAATAGGATTATCTGAATATAAGCTTAACATCATATCATGTGATTTATTAGTATAACTATATAGTATAAAACTTAACAGTTTTGTAATTGATTCCAAGTGTTTTAAAACTCTTATTATCATTCCTTTGAATATTTTCGAATCTTGTGATTCTTGACACTCCATCTTTAATCTCTGAGAAAGCGACAATTAGCTTACGGATACATATGTTGAATTTCAGTGTCGTCAATACGAATATAACGGAGGACAGAGTGGTAATTTCCCCTATCACGTCACTGTTGGTTTTAACAGTTACATATGTGATACGAACAGAGAAAATGTTTTTAACATAAACAGTATATTCAGACATTCTTTTCGTAAGTGTTTCGCTCTCATTCTAACACAGCCTGGATATACGGGTGCGGGGTAATGATGGAAAGAGGTGACTTTTGTGGAAATGAAACATTTGGGCCTTATTTCTTTTCTAACTTCCTTATTTTTCTCCTTTTTGGTGATGTCTGTCAAAGCACCCGTTTTCGAACGTTCTTCACTGTTGCGAGGTCGTTAATCCTCATACAAACAAATACTTCCATGCTCCACATTTCGACGTTGTTACCCAATGCAACCATCTTTATGTTACTTTTACCAATTGCAAGCAAACTTCAATGTATCACTGCCTGAACTTATCCCTCTTAACAGATCTACCAACTACCTAACTACCGTCTGTATGGTCCTCTATATATTAGTGTGGTTTTGGGCCGCCTAAGACATTCATTTATAATAAAAATAAATAATGAAAACTGTTTGAACCTCATTTATACTCTGCATTGCTGGAATATTCTTGAAAAAACATTGACAGAAGATTATTATAGACAGTTGCCTGCTGTCCTATCCTTTTGATTTTGTTGAAATGAAAATTAACCTTGGTAGTAAAGGTGTCGTATGGTATCTATCTATTTCGTCAATTTACATGAACATTGTAAGTTGTTGTCGCAGCATGTATATGGCCAGCAGCTGTATCTATTAACACTTGATTTAAAGCCTTTATCATCGAAGGAATCGAGACGTTGTCCAAAATAGAACCTCTGATATCGACGAAGCATGCGATGTGATTAAAGTTACATTTTATCAAGAAATCTGTTTGGCATGGTGAAAAGAGAAAATATCCAAATGGCTGGCTCCCCAACTGTGCAATATGCATTGAATCCAAGTTTCCTGATTATCGTGCGATCAAACAGAGACTTCCTGAAGAAGGGCATCAAATGTTTCTAGTAAAACGGTTCCAGAGATAAATCTGCCTTAATGCTTAAAGTTGTGTATTAAAAGAAGATGATGGACCTTTATGATTGAGGTGTACCTTTTGAAGAAATTCCTCGATTATACTGAGAATGTGTAGTAGTGGAATGTCTACGCCTAGCAGAAGCTATCTCGCCTATCGTAGCATTTATGTACAGGACTGCTGATAGCAAAAGTCAAAGTTGTTTTTCAATATTATCCGTATTTTTACGGATGCAGTGTAGGTTGGATATCTAATGGCGGCTGATCTGTAACAAGAGTATATTTATTTAGCAACATTCTTTGTTTTAGCTTAGGTATTTTAGAAACAGGTATTTGGCAATTTCTGTGGATCCATTTACTTAGCTCATAATACAACAAATCAATAATGCATAAAAGCATATTCAAAGCTAATTCGACTTACATTTGTAAAAGTATTAATTAAATATTTGAGAGTCGTCTATTTTCATAGTGTAAGAGGGAAGTTTTGAAACGGCATTTCAGTAGTTGTAAATGATTTTTTAAATCATATCTTTATTACCTAATTATGTTTCTATTGGTTACATATTTGAAGACTTGATACGATTTTACAAATTAAACGGAATAACATTAGCAAACTCCAATTTGACCGTAGCGGTCCGGCATCTATTTTAACGTAAGAATTCATTTAGAAACTGTGCCAGTGACCTGAATTCAGATATATTTTAATCTCACCTGTTTGATTAAATACACATACTTTGTTTATGGATGTCGAAGACTCGATATCAATATGAGTACAAGTATTCTGGAGATGGTTCAGAGATTGATTATAGATACTAGACACTTTTACTAGATTACACTGTTCTTGTTTATCTATTTTCATATGACTTTGCTGTGTGGAATGATACCAGCACAGAATTGTACTATGTGCTGTACACCAGCATCAGTTGCCTGTTTTGTTGTATAATCAAGTTTCTGTAGTAACATTTTTCAAACAAATAATAATGACATGCAATTATCAATATATATAATATATGTTTTATCATTACTTCAATTCAATATGATGTGTGTAAACTGTTTATTACTCTAAGGAGACGGCGCTTTGCCTGTTGCCCAATTCCTTTGTATCTAAGAATACAATGGTGTTGCGAATACGATAAACTCCAAACGAAACAAACAAATCGGCATATCTACCATTTACGTATGTGACCCTGTATATACTTATGACCTAAGTAGGCTGTTAAGTCGATCGTTTAGCCATTACTCTTGAGGATGACAGAAGAATCATAAACAGGTAAAACGGGAGATGATTATATGGATAGGAGAAGACTGTGTGGCCCAGTATGAGCCTGTGGATGACATATTTCACCTCGATATTTACACATAGGGCCTGGTCGAGAACTTGACCATTCCGTCTCTGGACACAAGTGAGTGAAAGGATAGTATGATATGGAATGCATCTGAAAGCAGCATTTAAAAAACTGCATATATAAACCGGACCGGGTGATAACGATTTGGTCGTCTGCATTTAAGTTAAATAATAACAACACCAAATATGCCAGGACATTTTTTAATTATTGACAACATAAGATAAGTAGATGTGTAAATAATACTGTTCGTATCAACCTATAAGGCTGTATTGGTCCATCACTTAGACGTGGAAGATGATCACATTTTTGCACCTTCAGTGTAAAGGAGTGTTTGATTATGAAGAGGAAGGGAGGTAACCCTCAGTTCTGTCTGTAAAATCCTTTGTACTTTTGAGCAGATGTCAGTCGTAATTTCCTAGATATGTCTGGATCTTCAAATTGCACTTGTCCTGTGCTGCTACTTAATGGTGGGACTATAAAAACAAAAATAAGACAGAAATGATATTACTATAAAATATAGTTTTTAATTTTTGGTATGTACTTGCCTGCTTACCGTGGTTGAATCAACATTTGCTTTTATAATATATAAATATTTAAGAATGAATACCGCCATAAAATCAAAGCAAATTAACTTAGTTTGGACAAAACAATGAAAAAGTAAAAATTAATGATTAGGTAAACCAATCAATAAAAGTATCCAAGCCTCTATTAATTTTTCATATTTTGCTAGCCTTGCTGATTCATATATCATAAAATTAGATGCAAATGAACTCATTGATTAACAAATACTTGTTTTCACATTGATTTTTTATTTTATTCGTAGATTACTCGACTACGAACAGATCTACGCAATATGTGTAGCTGGCAGTAGTGAATCATACTATATCTATTTTAAGGATCCCCATACCACTGCCAAAAACATATATCCGTATCTGAAAGATGTTTTTTTTTTGTGTTTTTGTTTAGATGACTATAATTTTGATAAACAGTTTCTGGAGAAAAAATTATATTAATAAGTATAATTCGAAGCTCTTATATTCCGCTTTATCACAGCCTAGTTCGAATTCGTAGGTCGTCTCAAAGCGGTTCACAAATTATTATCCGTGGTTATAGGGCCTTTGCAACTAGCCAATATATTTCTCAACTCCCTGGGGCCCATACAGCCGGTGCTGCCATTTCGGCGCTCACAGCTTGCATTCTACAATTCTAGCACTGCCCAACCACGTACTCATTTACAGTTGAGTAGACTGGAACAAGCGGAGTAAAGTATCCTGCCCAAAGATACAAGAAAGTGCCGTGCCGTGACTCGAACCTGCAACCCTTAGGTCACGAGCCCGGCGTCCTACCACTAGACTATCGTGCCTCCTATATACGAAAAACCACAATGGAATATTTTATGTTTTGCCTGCAGTGAGACAGGAATCCGTAACTGATCTGTTTAAGGTATTTGAGACATTGTATATATTAAGCACTGACTCCATCTCACTATATTGATTCTTACGTTGTACATTGGGTGGGGTATCCCAGGAATGCTGAGCATTACGTAGATGATTCCTTTGAGATGAAGCTGTATGTAATCTTGTGTTAAAACTAGCGTCGTCATATACTCGTATAAGACCTGCAATTAGGAAAAGGGATATACATGAAGCCAATACATATATCTTAACCGAAAAAAAAGACCATATATAAAATAAATTAATAAATTAATGAGCCGTTGTCTTCAAAACCAGAGAGAGCTATAATGTCATTATTTATGTTAGTAACATATTCTTTCTTTGAGTGTTTTCCATGAAAAATTAAAGGAAAACAAGTAATTTAAAAGTATTATTTGATAATATGGTATTTATTAAACAACGTTTTAGCTTGATATCCTACAGCGAACTATCCGCACAACGAACTATCTGATTGCGCAATACTTTGCTTCTGCCTTATTTTTATCTCACTAAGTTTTGTAGTGACAGGTCTATTGAATAGAGATTTATTAAATGATTTATCGAAAAATATTTTTTGAATAAGTGCTTCCGTTCTTTGTATCTAATGACTGTTGGACAAATTGTTGACTAGATTACGAGAACATATCTCTTAATTTTTGATGAAATTTCAACATTTGGCAAATCTTTATCAATATCCTGCGAATCTGAAAACATTGACAAAAAATTCTCAATATTTTCCAAATAGTGACATCGATATTTTTAACCAAAACCTTTTTCGATATTAAGTGTTATCTGAGGAGGAAAAAAAATAACCAACTTATTTTACCTGGGTATAAGTTTTTATTTTTATTTCTTCAGTCATAAGGGATTTAGTACAACTTACCGTCAACATAGCACACTCTGCCTCCACCGTGCCCGAGCACCTCTTTAATGTGTCGCCATGTACCGCCAATCCGGCCCTGTCGCAGTCTAGAAATCAAGTTAAAAACATTGTTTATACAAATAAAACCAAGAGCGAATGTTTGTAGATAGAAGAACTGCACATAATTCGTTTTAACTAATCACACGAAGTGTTATACTACGTATCTGATTTGTGATGTATTTCGAAGGCAAGCAAACAAAACTATAGAAACCTATTCCCCACTAAAATTCCTCTTATGGGTTCATGACACAGTATATAGGAATGTTATAGACTTAAATAACAAACTAGAACATTGTATTGTTCTCTTTCATTTGTTTAATCAAATCTGAGGCATTCAGACATCTACAATCTTTTCAATAAAAGTTCCACCGTCCTTCCTTGATATCAGCTATAACATAATCATTTCCCTTTTTATTTCTCAACTCCTGTCGATTTACATTTTCCATATTCAATATCGTGAGTTTGATGTCATATTCAAAATGGACCAGGACCACTGAATGCTTACAACTGCTGTGCCAGGACAATGTAAATAAGCTTCATACTGAATCATGTATCATAAGTCAGAATAACTCTCTAGATTTAATCGAAATCAAAACTAATAATAAATTATTGAATATCAGAAAGCCTAGCTCAGCAAATAAGGAGTGGGACGACTGGTTCGCCCGTTGTCAGTATAATGTGACCGGGTGGGGCGTCCTGCTGGGTGTCTTCGGCAGTATGTTTCAGTGAGGTAGCACTATAAAGTCGGCATCAGTTCCGCGCTATTACAAGAAGACAAACACGAACATATCGCAGCCTCCCAAAATACACACACATACACTACACGCATGCATCTTGCACACAGGGGAGGCCGTCCTTAAATGACCTTTGCTGTTAATAGGACGTTAAACAAAATCAAACAAACAAACAAACAAATTTAACGTCCTCGCAAGAGCCATGGTCATATAACGACGGATGATTAGGAAGACATCACTTGAAAGAACGAATAGGTAGTGATAAATATTTAGATCCCAACCGTTGCAATGGGGGCAGCAGATCAAGTATAGGTTCCTCAATGTCCCATAAACAGAAGAAACAAAAGAAGTTCCCGATTCGGCAGGGCCCACACATTAGTCGCCTATTTCAACATGCAATGGAACACAGTGTTATATCACAGAGCTCCGGGCTCTCAGTTTACCTGGGTGCCCCAGGGTTAGGGTATCTGTAGGCAATCTTTGACGTCAGATCTGCGTATGTTTTTCTGTAATTTATTTCAGACTCTTCTCTTTTCTGTGCGGGCTATATTGGAGGAATAACAATAAAAATATGTTGAACAAAATGCTAATATCATCATAAAATAGCTAGGTTATATAATTAAAAGTATATTCTCTTCATGTGAAATACAAAGACGATTTCAATGTGATAACAAAGGTTAAGCTTGTAACAATAAGTTAAACCAATTATTTATAATTGAATGGAGAGATTTATAATTTCACGTAATTTTGACAACTTATTACAAACTAGATTGTGTATCATGATTATGTCGAAAGAAACGCATTTCGGTCGCAAATTATAACGTAATAGTAAATGTTTTATAACTGTGATACAATCGAGGTATTCATCAATAAGTGTTTTGAGTTTAAGAAACACAGAAAAGCTCTGAGACAAATAAGAATGTATTTAAGTATTTGTTATATTATATGTGCAAACTGCATAAAGGTGTAATTTCGAACATCAACGAACAAGAAATATTTCACTGAGAATTTTATCACTTAAATAATTTACATTAAAATGTTTTAATAAAGTGTGAAAAATGTACCAGCCTATCGAATCAAAAAGAAATATACATCTACAGTACTTTGTAATATATTGAAAACGTTTATTAGTAATTGCAATGAGCTTTCTTGTTGATGTCTTATTCGTCCATCGGAGAACGTTTTGATGTACGTGCTTTACTTTATACTATTTCAAATTATTCATTCATACCGAATTGGCTGTATCTTTTAAACATATTTATATGATGCTGTATGTCACAAATAAGACGTTTAGTGTCACTGACCGATTTGAACTGTTGCCAGTTGTTGTCCGACACTGTTGTAGGGACTCCGCCCCCGCCCCCGGAGCTCTGGTCCATCGCCATTCTCATCCAGTCATTCATATGGCCATATGTTGTTCTGTTAACACACAGGAAAATCAATGTGTAAATAGTAGCAACACAAAACAAGTCATACGTTATACATGAAGGCACACTAAATTACCGTGTTGACTCAATTCTTCGGGTTTAGAATGATATGAAAACAATATGGTCAAATACTAGCAAAAGACATTATAATATGCTATTGTCTCTAATATAAACCTTTTCTTTCCCACTCTCCTACTCTGTTACTACCTTATTTATCATATAAACCCAATGCTAACATACAGCTAGACTATCCAATAGGTCTAATATGTATTGTATAATGATTAACTTACAACAAAGCAATGATAAGTTGTAATAATTTGCGTCCAAACATTTTGCTTATTTGTTTAGCTTAGAATTTCATGACATTGCCAGTTATGAAGACAAAATAAAGAAATATATTTTAAAAACCAGATACCCGTAGAGCTTCACGGTCTACAGTGTTTAAGAAATAATTCAATGTTGGTTAATGGCTTGTCAATTACATCGAGGAATAGTATACAGTAAAACGTCGTTTTACTTCCAGGACAAAATTGGAGTTAAAAGGGATTAGGTGATAAATTAAGGGAAATACATAGATAAATTTATAATAAGACGAGAAATATGTTGGCGCGGTAAACGAGTTGGCAAGCGAAATGAAGGACATTAGTTATCAAGATTTTACTGGAAATATATACCCGTTATAAGTGTGTTACCTGTCAAACTCTCCCAGTAGGCAAACACATGTTTCCTATAACTGATGTATAACGTTTTCAAATTAAAGTTAAAGCAATAATATAGCCAGTGTTACCTATCTGACACTGATCAATTGTATAAATTTATACGTAAATTGAACCTTTTTTCGGTTGGTAAGCCTTTCTCCTTTGAACGGAAATATTGCTCCCGGTACTTTCAATTTTAGATGGGTTTCACAAAACATCAATCAACATCAGGTTTTACAGTAAATTATATGATCACACGTTGTACATGGATACGATATGTACACATCATAGAAGAAATTGCAAAAATACATGTAACAATTTATTCATCAATTCAGTTTGTAAATATATACTGTATTCCAGGAAACTTTCGTCCTGCCAAATATTTGCATTGCACTGGTTAAATCCATATCCACCCAGTCCTTATTTCGTCCTTCACTTCTAGTTATTATAAAGGGTATGTTTTGTCCTGATATTCGCTGCATGTATAAATTCGACCTCATTACAGAGGGCGAAAAAATGCAGAAGTTAACCTACGACAACAATTTCCTTGTATACTGTATAAATAACATCTTTCTTGAGACATATTTATATATATTTACCAAAAAAGGGAATTAAGAAACTCTTAGCACATTCATTTACAAATATATCATCGGCCTTTATCTACGACAATTCATTGTGTTATACTTAAACAGCTATAACACTAAGACTTTAAAGTCCTTAAATCTATAAGTACTAGTACTCTGACAACAGTATTGCAGGTCGGGTATACGTATTACAATTGTTGATAAAACAATGGTGAACTAATGATCAGTTCATTGATAATGGGTATTGAATGAATGTTCACGGCATGCGTCACAGACCTATATGTAGGGCGGTCGATGTTCCGACAGCTTTAGCATTGTAGTGTTGTGTATATAAGTCATAAGGCTTACAGCTCGTAAACCTAACATGAACAAGTTTCATGACATACATGTATACAGGAAGGACTTTTTACTGGGTCTACCCAGCGAAATATCTGTTTCGTTTCTATGATATGAATCTCATTTGCAAATTAATTTAACTCTTAAAACTTGTAGAGAATGTTTTGAAGAAAACAAATTATAACAACAGAATAATAAAATATCGATAAAACCGTAATTCGTTTTCAAATTGCTTAAACTAGGGCAAATTATATACAAAGAAAACGTTCATAACTTTGGGAACCCTTGGAAAAGTACAATGAAAAAAGACCAGGGCCCGTATTCATGAAACCGTTCTCATGCCCAAGCATGGATTCTACGCCCAAACTAACTTTCTTGTAACTCGCTTTAATCATGTCAAACGATCAAAACATCAAATGTAAACATTGAAAACAGTATTTTCCATATAAGATTTATTTTCGTTAATTTATAACGGGAATAAGAAATTCGGCTTGAGCACAAAATTCAAGCCTGAGCATGAGAACGGTTTCATGAAGACGGACCCTGGTGTTTCGGGAGGTGTTCTGCTCCATTGATAGCATCCGCCATGTTAATCTAGGTCAAATATTAGTAATGTCACGCCCCCGTAGTGAGAACCGGGGCATTTTAGAGATTGCAAATACATATGTATATGACTAACCTATAACGTATACAAGAATATGCATATTGATGATAGAAACATATTTTGATATATCAAACAATGACAATAAAAAATGTCCATGAAGAAACCTTTAAATTAAGTTTTAGTTTTAAAATGATGTGAACGAAGGATCTATTATGGCGAAGTGCTCAAATAACTTTAAATGGAGAAAAATGAAGAAAAACACTGGAGGGAATATTACATGTATGTAAAACTAATAAAAAATATTTTTTGTAAACATGAAACCAATCATCTTGTATGTAGAGGGGATCGTGGATCGTTAATTGTAATCAACCTTTTAGCGATAGCTTTTTATCAATTAAAATTAAAGCTGTAGTGCTAGGGGGAGACATGAAAATTTACGTAATTTGCTCATTTGCTAGTAAACATGTACATGCATTACATTTGCAAAAAAAACATGTTCTGTTCCACAATATGGAAAGATACATATCATAAAAGTAAATTACAAAACAAATGTTTATACCACAGTGAAGCAGTCCCAATCGTAACCCTTAATATTGTGACAAAGTGGTGAATTCAAGACAATGGTATTATCATTACTGTGATAATTTTTACAAAATAATACCTGTGCATACCTGTATACCTGTATACAAACTATCAAACAATCAAATCTGTAAACTACATTGTATCCCACATGATGTTGGATCACACAGGTCAATATATGTACATGTAAATATAATTAGTGGTACTATGTTTTACCGCCTCTGTAACTGTAACCGATATTAGGTTCCCTAGTCAATTATAATATATAAACCCGTTGTGAGACTCATTAATAAATGGAAGGAACATTCACACAGTCACTGTGGTCAATAGTGATCATGTGTTCCATTTATCAATTTCCCTCCTCACTAACCTGACACACAGGTAATGAAGGGAACAATACAATAGTACAGCGTCAACAGTTAGTGACCTACCTCTGTCTCGTTATAAGTTGAGACAAGTCCTGCCATGGGTAATCAGGGTAGATTGAGGCAGTAAAAGGTCTCGGACGAACATCGGGAGGGGTTGGTTCATCGGCATACATAATGATTGTTAATATGTGTTTAGCACTTCAAAATAGTTTCCTTTTTAGTATCCGAAATTATATGCATTCCGACAAAATAACTCCATCGTTTTTTTGTGATATAGAATTAAAATATCCACACACTTGTTAAGGTATGTCAGTTACAATGTACCGCGTACACCTGTGTTGTATATTCACGTAGGTAATTGTAGATCTTAACTGGATCTAATGATACGTCATTAAAAAGGGAGGGATACAATGTATTACAATAATAATGCATAGGTTTTAAACATTTAGTTTATACCAAATCACATTAAGGGATGACTGCAATATTAACGTATTATTTTAATGGCTTCACTTTTAGGAGTGCAGTAATGATATATACGTTTGATAACAGTATTTAAATAATTAATAGAAATTTAATATGACCCCCTCATTGTGCCCCAATTGTCTGTATTTATATTGGGATTGCTACACCACTATATATTGTCCTTGGTAACTGTCACGGGACATGCATCGGTATATATGTATGTAGGTTCTAACTTTTATCGATCCACTGCAGTGTTAACTGGTACAATGACATGGCTTACCACTTCAGTAACTGGCTTTGTAGTTGTAATAGCTTGATCAGGTAGGGGTATACAGGGACCACACAATTAAACAGATCCATTAGTAGGGGCACGGCCACTCATACTTCTAAACCATTGTTTATAATGCATAGACTACAGTTGATATATATGTGGGTGTTTGTCTTTGTCCATGAAGGAATATAATGCACATGTATTTACTACAGTGAAACCTATCTAATATGACATTTCACTAATCCGACATCCTTTAAAAATAATTCTGTAAACGTACATATATAGCGGTACTCTAATTTTACCGCTTTTTGGGGCTATAAATATTGAGATAAATTATGATTGGTTTATTAATATTAATAACTTTAAAAGACCAAAGTATGCAATTGTTTTGTCTTTTTGCATACAACATTTAGAATTGGAACATTTGAAATAAAAAGGTTTATACCAAATGACATAAAAGATTTATTCCCAGTGATTTTAAACAATATCAGTTATTTATTTTTTTCAGTTCTAAACTTCACAAATATAACATAAAAAAATCTTATTCAATAACAAAGTCCTAGTTTCAAAGATGAATAATAAACAGAATATGTCGTTGCTCATGAAAACCTTGACACAGCCTTCAAAAGACCTCGTACAGCTTACAACCTAAAGAGATGGGATTCTGAACCATACAAACAATCTTTCCATTATAAAGCATTACGTAAGTCAAGGAAAAAGTTGTATTATTTAAAGGGCATTTATCCTTAAACACATGTAACCCATATCATAAATACACTGATTTTTAGGGTTTTGCAGTGTGACAACTAAACGAGTTTTCATTTCATTGGTCCCTAAACTAAACACACAGAACAAAAACGTTTCCATTTCCGGAGGGCCCCCATTTAGACAATCATATGTTGCACTACATCTGTTTGATCAATTATTTTCCCGTGCAGAGATGTATTTTCTGTCTTAATTATTATTGGTCGTGAATTATATAAACTGCTTTAGTCACCTTGAGGGAAAGTCTGGATACGGGTCTTTATCTAGTACAACCCAAAAATAATCCTTGATTGATATTCTGTAAATCTGATCGTAAGCCAGTAAAACGACCCCAAAATCACCCCTGAATGACATTCTGTATAACAGATCTTTTAGCCATAAAACGACCCCGAAATAATTCCTGAAAGATATTCTGTTAAACAGATTTTTAGCCAGTAAAACAACCCCAAACTCATCCCTGAATGATATTCTGTAATAGAGATCTTTAGCCAGTAACACAACCCAAAAATCCTTTATTTCTGAAAAATATTTTTTTATGTAACTTATGGAGTGTCATAGATCTTGATCTTGATGGTCAACATATCGGTACCTCTAGTGATTTGCATGGATTGTTTATATTTTTTGGCTTCGGTCCTTTATCATGCGCATTGAGGAAATATTGAGTAGAATCTATGTTCTGTCCTTTTCAATGACTGGGTATTATTATATATTTTCTATAGTATATTTCTATCTGATCAAACTTGGTAGGGTAAGAAAGAAAATCGTTTCGTACTTCGTATCCTTTTGATAAATCTATGCATCTAAGGCATTTGTCCCAATATAAATAATTGTTATAGATGATAGATGTACTTTCAGGACAAGTTCTAAGGGTTTTCCTCGATCTTCAATTAAATTTAGTGAAAGGCTTAAAGGACAGATATGGCTCGGGTATCTACTCCTATATAATTGATAATATCTAGACCTCCATATTTCTATACAGACTATAATATGAAATAGCTTCACCCTTCTCCGTTGCCCGCTAGATTGTTAACACGTATTGTGACTTGGATTTTTCATTAATCAATCAACTGGATATAACACAGGTCCACTAGACAGTCACACGTCTGCCATTCAAATCTCCCCGTGCATGTTTTTGTTAAGGTAGAATTATTGTTTGTATAACCAGAGTTTACAGGGCAAATTCTTGACTGGTGATATCATTACCTAGACGTTTTTGTCCATTGTATTATTTACAATGTAGTACATCACAGTGAATATTCATATGTGCTTTGAATACTTTGAAACAACGAGTAAAAATAAATTAATATAAAAAGGCGCGCATATATTCTTAATTTTGTTTGTTTGACCGCAAATTATATAGCTTGACCCCGTAGAACAGCAGTACACAAGACCTTATATCATGCTTCATGAAATAAATAAGAGACATTATTATATCCGCATATTATTTTCAAAAAGGACATTGACTGAAAATCTTAGATGTAACATATATAAATATTGATACATAAAAATATATATAATTAAAGATATGAGCATGCAAACTTGTGTTTGTTATACACACTGTATATAATCACAGAGGGAAGAAAGTGCAACTGACACAGGTAAGAAGTAAGATATTTACATATCAACAACACAAGGATAAGTAAAGAAAAACAAGTCTGAATAATAGATATACATCTATGTAAATGTTTGGAAAATGGATGAGATATTGATGCAATATGGGGACAAATGAGGAATGAAAAGTAAAATCATAACACAGACCCTTCATGGTGTCGCCTCATAGCTAATAAATGAAACAAGATGGGATGAGTGACATGAACAGACTGAGTATGGTACATGTACATACATATCAGTGATATTTGTTTCTTGAAATTATCTTCATATTGTATACAAACATGTACATTTGTAAATAGACATTATTTCTGGTATACCTAAGTCAATGCTATCTAGATATCAATCTCAAACAAAATACATGTATGAATATGTAATGAATGCACCCCATAAAACTTTATATCGAAAGTAGATACAAACAAGATGTAATACTTTCTCTACAAAATCAACCTTAATACACATTATTACACTCCTCAAGCATATATAACATACAGGGTACAGCAGTAACCTGGTTTAAAAATAATGTTTACTAAACTCGCTGGCGGATATATGGACAACGCATGTAACCAGTACATTAGTTATACAAACTTTATATACATAATATGACTGAGCAATGTTAAGTCACATATATCTAATATATATTCACTCTTACGCCACTGCAATTAACCGTCATCGTTGCTAAGTTACAATATTCCTATCAAAGATAAAGATCAACATATATCATAAATTAAAACAATTCTGTTAGTTATAAAGGTGTGTTACCTGAACTCCGAGTTATCAGATTCCCTGTGCGTTACTGTTTAGAAAGTCAGTGCATAACAACCGGCAACTGTCCCGTTCCACACAGGTATTAGAAAGCATAAGTCGTGTCGTTTCCCCCGATTAGGGTATAACGTAATCAATACCCGTACAGGTATACAGAGGCAATCCAGTATACAGGTAGACTGGCAGAGTGCCAACACTCTTTAATGTATACGCCATTCTCAGTTTGATTTTAAATATATACATACACAAATGAATATGAATTAGGATTCACATCAAGGTGAAGGTCGTCCGTCCAAGCTTTGTCAGATCAAGACATGAGTTTATCTTTGAATAGGTTTAAAGGTGTAAGTGTATACAGACATGTGATTAGAGTCAATAAAAGTAATGGGGTATTTAAAACCGGTAACATTGTTGTATACATTCGGTTTAGTAGAACAAGCCTATATTCCACTCGTCGATTTAAATATCTCATTTATCTCAGAAAATAGGTATACATACGTCTTTTAAATGAAGAAATAGAATGCGTATCTTTTGTGCTAACCAGAATTTGAATAAATTTGAAATTTTCTGTATCTGTAAATAAATTTATCTTTATTCTTTCTGTCAGATCGAATTTTTTTATATTTGTTTGTTTGTTTGCGTTTTTGATTTCGTCATCACTTTGCAGAATGTAACTGCTTAAGATAAACAAAGAATAAATACATATATCCTAATATGATTGTTCTATAACAAAAGAAAAACCTCATAAACCCACATTATACACCAGTCCATGAGAATACATCTGTGAGGATACTTCAATATCATATTAAGTTAATTATTTGTTTTACCGCAAAATATTTCTTTAATGGTTGATTCGAATAGATTCGTGTAACGGAAATACAATCCTGTAGGGAATACTACATATTGTAAATATAATGGAATGAGCAGTTGATTAATGTGAAAAAATAAACACCGCAAACACAGGAAGGAACATATTGGTATAAAAGAAATGACGAGACAACACATCAAACAAAAACATTTCCCGACATTTTGAAATATCAAAAATAACAAAAAGCATAATTGTTTCACATGAGGGGATATCGTAGTTAACAGAAAAGATATACAAACATGTCAAAACAAACAAAAAAATATCATTATTTTGCATTTCTATAGTTTTGAATTTTGGGTATTTGGTTACAAAGATACTATTTCATTAAAAAGCGCATAAGATTGAACATGTAATATAGAGAGGTTAATCTACATGTATATGTGGTTCATGCTGACAAATCATCACGTAACATATTTTTTACACACCCGTTAAGTTTTGATTGATATCAGTTATTACGCATACATTCACAGAACAACAGATTGACACCTGTACACAAAGGCTTGGTTATCGATATACCTAGGTCTCTGAGAACAATACAAGATGACAACACCTGGTAGATGTGATCATTCTCGAGGTACAGCTCGTTATCTGATTGAG